CAGAGAGTCAGGACCTCGGTTTTACATCTCATCCGAAGGACGGCCATCACTATACTGGGGCATTAGGACCCACACAGACTGCAGGGTGAGCGCCCCCTGCTGGCCCCACTCACACCTCTTCCAGCAGCAACCTTAGTTTTTCCCAGGAGTCTCCCACCCAGATACTGACCAGGCTCACACTGCTGAGCTCCAGTGGGGCTGCCAGCTGGGAGCTGCAGGGGGATACGGCTGCTGGAGAGGAGGAGAGTATTTGTAGGGAGGCCCCCTCGCTCCCTGCCTGAGCCCCCCCCCCCATGTTCTCCCCCGGCAGACCCCGACACGGCCCGGGACGTCCTGCAGCTGGTGCACTGCCTGCGTCTGCTGGGCGAGTCGGTGTCGCCCGACATGGCGCTCATGATGGAGAAGGCCGTGGAGCACCTGCACCCGCCGGAGAAGGCGGCAGAGCGAGTGCTGGAGAGCCTGCTGGCCAATGAGAGGTGAGCGAGAGGCGGGGCGGGGGCGGAGTCACGGAGGGGCCCACCTCCTTCCACTTAGCTGAGAAACTTCTTTTTTCGTTGTTGCTTTTTTCTGTCTTGGACTCCCCCTCCCCCCTCCTTTACATCCATTTTTGTTCTCCCCACCTGATCTGGGAGAGCCAGTTGTTTTTTTTTCCCCCCCTTGTGGCTCTCGGCTGTAAACCCCGCCTCCTTTTGCTGCGGGTGCGCAGGCGGCCACCGGGGGGCGCCATCAGCTCAATCCCACATGTCCCTGGGCTCAACCAAGTATTACCGCGCGGCCTAGGGGGGGCGACTCGGTGCTCGGACCCGTGCTCGGGGAGCTGGATCTCGGCGGAACTGCATTTCCAGTCGAGCCACATTAGGGAAGCCCGCACTGACTCCCGTTGTGCCCTGCTTTGCAGCAGCAACGTTATAGAGGACATCCAGAGTAAACTGCAGGACATCCGCAACCCTCTGAACGCCATCTCCATCCTGCTCCGGGAGATGGACTATGAAACAGAGGTGGAAGTGGAAGATCAATTTGCTGCAGGTACGTCCTTACTCTGGAGAGCTTTACGTTAGAATTGATCATAATGTGCTTCTTCCAGCCTCACCCATCAGAGTAACTTAGTGCTTCCTGTGCACATGGTATAGATTGTATGTATAGAACATATAAAGAATTGCTGCAAATCAGCCCATCTTGCTTAAAGGGGATCTGTAGTTCCAGTTTCTCAGACCAGTTATTAAATCTTGGCAACAAGATAAATTCATTGACAGATTCTGAATCGAGCACAAAATCGTGAACTTTGTGAAAGTGCTGTAAGTCGCCACGTTGTCGCAAACTCGCATTGCAACGTGATGTGGCCCTTCCTGCTCACTAGTCACTGATATGATTAATGTCATGTGATGTACCAGCGAATAGGTACAGGTTGTGCAGCAGAAATTTCACTGCAGAACTGTTCCAGTGTGACCTGCATGCGAGTTAACATGTAAGTAGTATTTGTCGGCTAAGCTCTCTTGTGATCGAAGGCAATATTTCTATTGGATTAAAGGAGATGTATTGACAAGCCTGCTTGTTTAGGATGGCATAGGGCTGCACGCATCCCCGGAGGTGTTGCTGGCTCTTTCTGAATCGCAGAACATGGCACTGCGCACTACTGCAACCTTATTTT